CAGCCCTCTAGGGGTCTTTGTGCTTGCCATGTGGTCTGCTTGCGAGCCCAGGTGGCTGGAGTCGAGAGGTTGGCGGGCAAGCCGGGCTCCGTCGACTGCAAGCGAGGGGTGCTCCTCGAGTACCCGGCGCTGGGAGACCTCCAGATGTAATAGATCTGGTAGTCTCGACCTGCTGCCTGGGTCCTCCTTCGCATGGCTGTGCTGCCTGGGCTGCGACGCCGCATGGGCCGCCGCGGCTCCCGCGAAGTGGGATGTCGAACCAGGCGTGGCCAAGGGGTGTCGCCTTGGTCCACGCTGTTGGCACTGCGTCGGACTGCTCGAGTAGCTCTCCCACTCTTGTTGCAGTCTCACCCTGTCGCGGTGCTGGTTGCTTGTCTGAACCCCGCTGGCAGTGGGGCTCGCGGCCTGAGGGAGTCGCTCAGGTCCGCGCTTGGAGCGCTCTGACTTGATGTCGCCGTTCTGTGGGTGGTCCCCACCCTTGCCCACAGACGCGGCGTCTAGAGAGCTGGTAGTGCAGGTAGTTCGTCTGCTACGTCTCTTGTGTCGGGGCTCCCTAGTAGAGCGTTGGTGGTTTGAAGCGGATGCGGCATCCCCCAGGCTCGCATCGGCTTGGGCATAGCTATGTAGTGTGATGGAGGCTAGGTGCGATCGTGTGCGTATGGCCGAGGGCCATGGGTGTGGGTCGTTGGGCGTAGGCTCGTCACCGCACGGGTCTCTGAGTCTGGGCCCGATATCCCCGATACCTTCTGGTGTAGTTGTCTGGACGCAGGTCTGGGCCAGTTGCCCCCCAGCCTGCGTGCTCCGTATCAGTTTTTTGACATTCGACCCCCGTCGAGGTCGCTCTCGCCGCTCGATGAAGGATGCCACTCTGTCACCTGGGTCCGCGAAGCCATCGTCCGCGTCGCAGATCCTGACCTTTTTCGGCTGGCTCCTCGCCCTCCTGGGTTCCCTTGGTTGCTTCAAGTTGCCTCTGCATGGAGGTGCCGAGCTCGTCCTCTCTGACGTGCCCAAGTGGAAACGCGGTGGTGGCAGCCGTGGCTCGTGTGGCTCGGTGGGCGTGATATCCTCAATCGGCATCCGTGGAGGTGTGCTGGGGCAATCCTCCTCGTCGCGGCTGAGGTCGATGAACAGCGTCGTCATGGGGGTCTTGGCTGGCTGTGAACGCTGTTGTGGGGTCTTGTTTGGCGTGAGAGGCGTGACGGGCGGAAAAAGTATGTGTCTTGGCGTGGGTTGTTCTGTCGGGATGGGTGAGTCGGCTGGTATCGTTGGTGAGAGTGAGGCGAGGTCTGTCGGGGCTTCGCCCTCCTTCTCCTTGCGCAGGCCTTGGCGGTTCTTCATCTCTTCGTCCAGCAAGTCAGCGTCGTCGGATTCGCCAATTGGGATGCAATCGCTGCTCGCCCGTACCTCGAGTATCCCTGAGTGCGAAAAGGAGCCGACAATGTTGTACTCCTCGATGTGCGGGCGCTGCTGAGGTGGTGGTGGGGGGAGCGGCCACTCTTCTGCGGATGTCCTCGGCATCCTCGGCACAAAGCTTTGGTTCTGGAAGCTGAGGTCGTCGCTCGACGAGGGGGTAGGCCCCTCTGGCGTTGGCATAGACGATGTATGGGACCTCTCTCCAAATCCCACCTCGGCCAGCTCCTCGAGGTACGGCGGCAGTTCTGGATGTGGAAGTTCGTACTGGCTAGGTAGCAGCCGAAGTAAGTCTGCCTCAAGTTGCTCCCTCTGGTACGCGCCCTCCTGGTCCGCCATGCCTTGGTCGCGCTCACTCGTGGCTGTGTCTCCCATGAGGTCATCCGTCATGTCGATTAGCAGGTCTTCATCAACTTGTCCTCCTGCTCCCCAGGCATCCCGTAGTGCAGTCTGGAGTCCTGCCGTTTGCAAATCATGTGCCCGTTGGAGTTCTTGTAATTGCTGCTGCCTCTGTGCTTCGTTCATATGATGGTTGTGGGCGTAGTGCTGCGCGATGGCCTGCATCTCCTGCTGGCACTGGTGATGCAGTGTGCTGTGGTACTGATGCGCCGCCTGGTTCTCCATCTCCTGCTGCTGCTGCAGTGCCTGGAGTTCGCTTGTGGCTGCTGCTTGTCGCTGCAGCGCCACCTCCTCCATCCTTTGGGCTTTGTCCACCTCCTCCTGGTGCTCGCCGACGCGCTCCAGATACCTTTCCTGCTCGTGCTGCATCTCGTATGCCTTCGCCTGGATGGCTGCGTGCCCCAGGTTCAGGACGACCCGCATCGCTTCGCGCTTGTTGGCTTCATCCTGATGCTCGTGGGCCATCTGCTGGTAGTTCACTGCGATCCGCAGCTCCTCCTCCTTATAAGCGCTGTGGCGGGCGCATCTCTCCTGGTATTCCGCCTCCGCCATCTCCTGCATCGCCTTCTCGTTGTGCCCCTGCGCCATCTTGTACCACTGGGCCTCCTGGGTTGCCATCTCTCTCACAACTTGCTCTTCCTGCCTGGCCTTCTGGACCTGCTGCGCGTAGATGGCTGCTCTTCTCTGATCTTCCTTGTGCATCTCCTCGCGCAAGGTCTTCTTTTCCAACTCGATATGCATTTGCAGGTCTGCGAGCATCCCTTTGGCCCTTTCCTCCTGTGTCCTCTGGGTGCCTCTTTGTGCTTCGTATGCTTTTGCTTCCTCCTCCTCTAGCTTGGCGTTGTGGTGCCGCTTGAGTGCGTTGACCTCCCATGTGTGCCACTCCTCCTGCTTGGCCAACTGCGCTTCGGTCGTGTGGTACATCTTCTGCGCGATGGTTTGTTCGTAGGCCTTCAGCTCGCTTTTGTGCTTGAACTCTGCTCGTGCTAGTAGGTCGCTTTGCTGCTGTTCTTTTTTCTGCTGCGAATCTAGCCTCTCGGTCAATCTCCTGATGGCATCTTTGATCTCGTCTGATGCTGCTGGGACTGGTCGGGGCTGCTGAGCTGGGGCTGGCAGAGCTGTGGCTGGTTGGGCCATGGCCGGCGCCGCTGGGGCTGCCGCAGGGTCGCGCCTTCTCCTCGCGGCCGGGTGTGGCGCGCGTCCTCCGGTGGGATCATGGCCCCCGTCATCCTCGGACGATTCGTCCTTTACTCCCGCCGACTTGGCCAGTTGATCCCTGGTCTCCCTCATCAGGGTTTTGTAGACCCTGATGGTTCTGGCGGCCGTCGCCTCCTGGTCCAGCATCTTGCTGAGCCGCTTCTCCATCTCGGCATGCTCCTCCTCCAGCTTTTCCAGCGTCGCCCTGAGCTGCTCCATGCGTTCTTCGTGGGGCAGAACGAAGGAGATGTTCGCGGCGGTGATCGCCGCTTCCTGCTCAAGGCTGGCTGTGCACAAGCCGGCCAGCCTGGCACCTGCGATGTTCTCGGTGAGACGACCCAGCCTGTGGCACTTGGTCTTGTACCACACGAACCTCATCTCTTCGTCATCTGGAGGTGCGGACCAGCTCTCGTGCTCCATCGCGACGGCGAATGAGACTGGCGTGATGCTGTCCAGGACTGCCTTCTGCTGGGGGCTGTACTGGTAGCTGCCGATGTGGGCTGCGGCAGGCTTGTCAAGCTGGTCCCTTCTTCTGCGCCTGCCGCTTCTCCTTCTGGCCGAGGCGCTCCTCCAGGGCGCTCTGAGCTTCCAGTGCTGGTCGCTGTCGCTTTGCTGCTGGTGCTTGTGGGTCTGTGGCTGCTGCTGCTGCTGCTGGTGGCGCTTGTGGGTCTGTGGCTGCTGCTGCTGCTGCTGCTGGCTATGCTGCTGCCACTCCCAGGGCCGCCCACCAATGGCTCCGTAGTCGCCAGTCCAGTCTGCGCTGCGCTGGCGCTGCGCCTGGGCTGTGGACCCTGCTCCTGTCCACCTTTTCCCAGGGCCGCGCCGCGACGCCTCGAGGGGTGTGGTCCCTGCTCCTGACCACCTTTCCCTCGAGGCGTCGCGCTGCTGCTTCCAGTTCTGCTCCATGGCGTGCTGCTGGTGGCGCTGGGGCTGCTGCGCGCTGTGGTGGTTCCCCAGGAGGTCCTGCGCAGCTGCGAGGCGTAGCAGCACCCGAGCTTGTGCACGACGCTCACGTGCTCTTCGGTGCCAGGCGCCCTCCTTGGGCGTGGCTGCGGCTGGTCGCGGCCTCCGCGGCCGCTGTCCTGCGGCTCGGGCGGCGCGCCTGAGCCCTGGCCGTTGGGGGGAGGCCGCCGCGGCGGCGAGGGGGCGACGACGGTGCCCCTGCGCGGCGGCGGGCGGGCGCGGCGGCCCCCCACTCCTCAGCCAGTGGCTTAGCTTGAAGCCCTCTTGGTGCACCTCGGAGGCTACCTGAGCCCGCACTGGAGCAATGATGGGCGTGCTGGGGCCGTTTTGGAGCCCTCAGGGCCTAGTCTAAGGCCTGGGGCGCCGCCACAAAGCCCTCTGGGGCGACTTTGGCTCGTGGGCCGTCTTGGCACCCTCTTGGGGTGTCTTGGGGCCCTGGGCGTCAGGCAGCGGAGCAGGCGACCACATGAAAATCCCTGATAAACCTCGAGGAAATCAATGATGTTCGCCCGTGGGGGCTCACTTGGGAATCAGCTGGGTCTCTTGGGGCATCTTAAAAGCCACGCGAGCCGTATCGAAACAATGGTCGGCCCCCCCGAAGCCAACTCAGGTGTATATATATATACACACACAGACATCTACATCGATATATATATATATATATACATATACATATAAATACGTATATGTGTACTTATACATATGGGTATATACAGGGTGTATATATATACCACCAAAGATATATCATCTATGACAACGGCGACGACGACAAACGGCGACCGACGACGACAAACCAAGGACAACGACGATGGACGACGACGGGGCTGTCGACGGTAACGGCAACGCCGACAGCGAACACAATGGCGACGGGAGGGGAAAGCGATGGGGCCAGCGGCGGCGACCGCGGCGACGACGACCGACAACCGACGACCGACGACGACGACGCCGACGCCGCCGCCGCCGACGACGACGACGACGACAACGGCCGCGGTGGCGGCGACGACGACGACGACGGCAACGGGGCGTGGCGCCTCTCCGACTCGGAGAAGCGGGCCAGCATCACGCCTCGCTCGTCCGCCATCAGCTGCCCGCCGCACGGAACCGAGGCCGCGGGTGCGCCTCGACGGAGAGGGCCGAGCGTTGTGGATGCCACGACAACGGAAACCCCAACAGTCATATCATTGAATAAAAAATCTGTTTAAAATGTGGGAAAATGCTCTAAACATTTTGTTACCATGCTTTTTCACATGTTCGAAACATGTTTAACACATGTTTTAGACATCTGGAAATTATTTGGCAACATGCTTCCTCTCCATTGATCGTTTTCCACAAGCCGTGCGTCGAGGGCATCGCTCCGCTGGACCTCCCAAGGGCTCACGAAGGCGCCGACAGTTGCGCAGCTGACGACGCGGAGCCGCGGGGGCACGTCAGGGTCCGCGTGAGACCGTGTGGCATCGCTCCGCTTGACCTCCCAGGAGCCCACGGGAGTAGCGGAAGTTGCGCAGTTGACAGTCCACCGGGGAGTGAGAGGGCAGGGCTGGAGACAGGAAGCACGAAGAGAGAGGGAGGTGGCGGGAGGAGGGTGAGGCAAAAGGACGAAGACCTACAGCGCTTCAACTCAAAAGGAGGGTCCGGCTCAAGGGAGGGATGGGGAAAATGGGGAAACCAATCCGCCAGAAGTCTGGGTGTTCGCGCCCCGCCGAGCGCCGTGGAGCTTGTGCTTGGCGAGCATGGCGTGGTCGTGGCGGTTGAAGACCTGAAAGAACAAACAATCGCATGAGCAGTCTTAAACAGGACGAGGCTGGTGTCATTACACGATCGGCTCAGGACATGCTCCAACAATTCTGCATGCCGTGCGGTTCGCCAGAAAAGCCGCTCCAATTTTGGAGCGTACCAGCATCATGACCTCACCTCGGTGTATACTCGGCGGTGGACAAACACTCCCTTTAGTAAACCACCCCTTCGTGAAAACGACCTAGGACCGAAACCGACGGACCTGCACCCGCAAAAAGGACGGCCGCGACGCCCTCTCGCGAAGCGAGAACGGCCAATTCGCTGATCGACGTGTCAGGGTAGGTCTATCAACCTCCGATGTACTGTCGGCGGCCCGTGCGAAGTTCGGGGGGGGGGGGCGGCGCTGCCCCCCTCCCCCGAGCCTTAAGGCGGGCCTGTCCCCCTACAGGGGGATTTTCGACAAAAAACAAAAAAATACCCCAAAAATACCCCAAAGAGGTTCAAAAATACTCCAAAAATGGTCCCCAGACTATTTTGGGGCTATTCCTTGACAATTTTGGGGGCATCTGGTATTTTTCGTCGACAATCCCCCTGTAGGGGGGCAGGCCCGACTTAAGCCCCAGCCCTATGTCCCCCGCGGCGCGCGGGAGGGCGGCGCCCGGGGCGGCAGAGGCGCCGGCCCGAGAAGGGCCGCGCGGGCCTCGCAACGCTCGCGAGAGCCTCCTGTGGCCGGTCGCGGCGGCGAGAGGGCGTATTTGGGGGAGGGGGGGAGGGTGGTAGGAGGAGGAGGAGGAGGAGGAGGAGGAGGAGGAGGAGGAGGAGGAGGAGAAGGAGGAGGAGGAGGACGAGGAGGAGAAGGAGGAGAGGTAGGAGAAGGGGGTGGTTGATATGCCAGTCTTCCACCAGCACCACTACCAGAGGTAGGAGAGAGAAGGAGGAGGAGGAGAAGGAGAAGGAGAGCCTCTGGTGGCCAGTCGCGGCGGCGAGAGGGCGTCACAGTCAAGAACCCTAGTGGGGACGCGCGGCAAGGACGCAAGACCCTTGGAAGCCGAAGTTGGGATTTTTGGGGCGGCGGGCGACGATAACCTCAAGGACGCAAGAGCGAGGAAGAGCAAGGACGCAAGGGTACCCTAAGCAAAGTCGCGCGTCCTTATTAGGGTTTTTGACTGTATGGGGGATGGGGGGAGTGTGGTTGATATGCCAGTCTTCCACCAGCACCACTACCATAGGTAGGAGAAGGAGGAGGAGGACGAGGAGGAGGATGACGAGGAGGAGGAGGAGGGGGAGGAGGAGGAGGAGGAGGAGGGCCTCCCCAGCCTTCCGTCTCCCCCGTCCTACCTTTTATGGTAGTGGTGGTGGAAAATTGGCTCATCGGGGTTGGGGGGAGAGGGGAAGGCTTTAGAAGCAGGTGTGCTTCTAAGCAGCGCGTGGCCGAGTTATGCGGGGGGAGGGGGGAGGGGTGGGGTGGGTGACAGACTGCGGTGCCGGACGCACTGTAGCAGTACAGGGGACGCATTGGGGGGGGAGCGTTACTTTATGGGGGGATGAGGCTGTGAGGGAGTATGACGCGCGCTATGGCCCAGAAGGTTAAAAACAACTCTGTTTATGCCGTTGCTGGGGGGACAAAAAGACACCGATGCCGCTACTCCCCCGACCTCTCCTGGGACGCCCTCTGACCAGGATCCGTGATGACGAAGGCTCTCCAGAACGAGCAGCGGTAGCGATATCTCTTCCTCCCCTGAGTCGCTTCTTCCTCCCGAGACCACGTACGCCATGCCCTTGGAGACCTTCTGCCGG